GGGGGGGGGGATGCAGTTATAAACCTGAAATGCTTTTTGCACTGAATCTGAAGGCTCGCTGTACCTCCCTGTATTGCCTACTCCTGCATTTTCCCGGCTGTGAGAGCGTAGGACTCATGCGACATCTTCGAGCCTCGGATAATTAGACGGCTGGCGTATCAGATTAAGCTGACGTCACCTCATTGCAGAGCACCTAAAAACACATCGACGGCACCGTTCGAGTGCGAAACACTAGGAAGGAGTTATTACATTCGGAGAAGTCGTTTTTTGTACGCTCTATACCCTCTAGAGGCGGTGGAGGAACACTGAGCGGATAGGTCCCTCCACAGTCTATCGGCAAAATCGTAAGGTCTTCGATACCATTCCGCAGTAATTGCCAACTAATTTGTCGCCGGATAATTCCTTAATCTGCTCACAACCTTGCAAGAGACATAAAGTAGAAGAAGTCGTACTATCAGTACTCTTTGTCTCCTGCGCCATCGCTTTTCAACGACACTGTGTTTTCTACACCCCTGTATTTTCCCGTTTAGATCGGTACTCAGTACTGCACTGCACATGAACATAGGTGCTGGAGAGACCTGTGTGTGTGTCTTTACACTTAAAAAATGCGCTAGCACTTTGCTGGCTCAGATGAGATACAGACTTCCCACGAGTGGTTTGTTAGTCAAGATGATTTCTGCTCATGCTTTTTTCGATCATCGCCAAGAAAGACTATAAGCACTTGTAGAATCTAGAATTCTCAACTTCCCAATCAGTATGAGGATTGAAGTGGTACAGTGGCAGCTAGTCAAGGGGACGAATACCGTTATCGGATAGCTCTGCCTTACACGTTTCCGATGTCGGCTTAGATGTACTAGCCTTGTCTGAAAATATAAAAGCTTCCACTTTAACAATGATTGGCTCCTAGACTCGTTCAGTCATTTGAAAGGGCATGTGAATGCATGGCTCATCTTTCAGAGGCCTGATCAACACGACAGAGAAAAGGGAGTTCGAATGACCGCTAGCGACTGCATAGAAATAGAAGTTTTTAACTGAATGGTAGGTGAGCATGCTTGTACGACGGAGTCAACATCAGAGGACATTCAATGGCATTTAAGGGTGGCATTTAATGTGTGGTCGCCTTGTTCAAGATCTCGAGATGAAAATTCCATAACAGAGGTGTGGAATAGAGAATTTCAAAGGTTTGAATTAGTGCTTTCGAAAACAGCTGGCTGTTACAATCAAGTAATACAAGAGTAAGATTACTTGGTTTTTGGTGACAACTGGGCCTCCTACGTAATCAAGAAGTTGGTCAAAATCGATCATCCAAGGTTCGAGGATGACATGGGCGGTGTCTTTAGTTCCTCGATTCCCTTATTTTGGCAATTCATGTCGACCTCTAGTTTGGTAGGTTATAGCGAGGCCATCACTAGAGGTGATGTTTACCTTTTTTACTGAAGCAATTCCCTTAGATGATTTACCATCTTAATTCAGACTTCGTACCCGTCACTGAAGAAATTTCTATTATTTTGGCGAAATTCTGGATTCACGTGGTTCAGGTGAGTGAGGGGATGAGTGGGTATGTGTGGGTGTGTTTGTACATGTATATGGCTGTGCATGTGAGCATGTGTGGGCACCCTTCCCCTTCTCCTGGTTACCAGCAATTTCCTATCGGAATGTTGTAGACCCATCATTAAACCGCCCACTGAACCTTGTTTGACTACCAAAAAACGTTTTCTCTCGGTGTCGGTAGCGAGATCTGAGGCTGCGTTCAAGGTCGCCGTTATGAGTCATTTCACTCTTGTCTTACTGGCAGGGGATGTAGTTTTAAAGATTCTCTACATAAGTTTTATTTCATCTTGAAGAAGTAGGATTTCATACGGTTTTGATCGTGAACCTGATCGGTCTCAAGGTCGTTATTCGATCGATACATCCCCATAAGTGGGTGGGCTACGTCGTCATCCACATTCCCCCTCCTCTCCCCACACTGCGGGTGAGCGCGGCTAACCCATTGATTGATCGGTTCCTTGTTTTCTTTACAGAACGAGTGCCATTTTTTGATTGGTATTTTTAGT